ATCACTTCGATATCGACGTGCGCGTCGACCTGCATGATGACGCCGTCACCGAACTGCGTCGCGTGCTCGACGAATTCAAGATCTATGAGAAGTTCTATCGCGATCGCGGACATCGTCCGGACCTCGCCATGAGCCAGGCCGAATTCGTCGCGAGCTTGCCGAAGAAGGCGGTCGCCTGAGCATGGCCAAGGATCATTTCCATCTCGCCTGGTTCCTGTCGCAAGGCTACGGACCGAAGGCGTGGCGCTCGATGTGGCCCGGCACCGAATACGACAAGCATCGCTGGATGATGCCGGACATCTTCGTCGATTTGGCCGAAGGGGCTGGAGCGCGGCTGCTTCGACTACATGATCATCGAGGATTCCTCGATGGTGCCCTACACCTACAAGGGCAACCACGACACCTATCTGAAGTACGGCGCCAGCACGCCCAAGCTTGATCCCGCCGTGCTGGTGCCGTGGCTGGCGATGGCGACCAAGCATCTCGGCCTGGTGCCGACGCTCTCGACCTCGGAATACCCGCCCTACCTGCTGGCGCGCCTCGTCAACTCGCTGGATCACGTCACCGAGGGCCGCATCGGCTGGAACTGCGTCACCGGCAGCAACGACGGCGCCGCCGAGAATTACGGTCATATCGGGCAGCGGCCGCACGACGAGCGCTACGAGGTCGCCGACGAATTCGCCGACGTCGTCACGCGCTGTGGGAGGCGTGGGACGCGACGCGGTCGTGCTCGATCCGCGAGACGCCGATGTTCGCCGACGGCAAGAAGGTCCGGCCGATCCACCACGAGGGCAAGTATTTCAAGGTGCGCGGGCCGATCAACGCGCCGCGCTCGCCGCAGGGCCGCGTGCCGATCGTGCAGGCCGGCGGTTCGTCGGCCGGCAAGGCATTCGCGTCCAAGTGGGCCGACACCATCATCACCGAAGGCGCCAACATCCAGAAGATGAAAGCCTATCGCGAGGAGGTGCGCGGCAATGCCGCCGCCATGGGGCGCAATCCCGACGACATCAAGCTCCTGTTCCTGTGCTCGCCGATCGTCGACACGACGATGGAGGCGGCGCGCGAGCGGCGGCGGCTGCAGCAGGAAGACTCGCTGAAGTATGTCGACATGCAGCTCGCCGGCATGTCGCGACTGACCGGCATCGACTTCTCCAAGTTCGATCTCGACGAAGACCCTGCCGATGGATCTGAAGACCAACGGCCACCAGTCCTCGCTGGCGCGCTGGCTCGGCAAGCCCCTGCGCGAGATCGTGCGCGGTTACGCCGCCAAGGGCAGCCTCGACTACACCGGCACGCCCGAGCATGTGGCCGGCGTGATGCGGGAGGTCATGGAGGAAGTGGGCGGCGACGGCTTCCTGATCTCCGACACCCCCATCGACCGTCGCGGCGTCATGGAGGTCTGCGACGGGCTGGTGCCGGAACTGCAGCGCCAGGGCCTGACCCGCAAGGCCTATGCGCACAAGCACCTGCGCGACAACCTGCTGGAATTCTAGGCGCGCGCCGTCGGCAATGCATGGCGTGCCGCGACCGGGTGGGGCGGACACCTCTCGCGGAGGGGTGGCCGTCTCTGCCATCGGGAGCCGCCAGAGCATCGACGGAACCGGATCACTGAACGACGCTCTCGCCCGGTTTGGCACGGGCTGC